AGAAGGGTGGGTGGGGGGAAGCTGGGTAAGGTACCCCGGGTCCTGGCTGAATGAGGTAGGCTGCCTCTCTCTGCTCCCAGGTTGGGGTCCCAGGTAGCCCACAGAGGTCGTGTAGTGGGGGCACTGCAGGAAACATGCCAAGACAGCGTGAATGGGGTTGGGGTTTGGGGAGCCTCAAAGCTTCATTCGGTCAAAAACCTGGCGTCTGGGTTTGCCTCAGAGGCTGGCCACCCAGAGAACGGCAGGCTTTTCAGAGCTGGGAAGAAAGGCTGGCCAAAGGAAGAGGTGGTCTGGGCGGTTTCCTGTCCTTTTGGAATGTGGACAGAGATGCCAGCCTCTGAGAATGGTTATCACCTCCTTGCCAGCTGGGGCCGCCTTCTTCCAGGACATTTTGTGGGAACGAGGGGTGATCTGACCTAGGAGGAATACTCAAGGCTGTGTCTCTGCCTCCTAGATTTAAGATGACATAGGGGACCTTTGGGGGAGATGAACAGTTCATGGGACTCAAGAAAGGGTTTCTCCAGGCACCAGAAAGGTTCAGATATGCCCAGTCAAGCATATCTCCGGGATTTTCAGAAGCCCACATTTGTCTCACTTTTTGTTTAAATGTATTTTTGTAGTTCCTCATTCTGGAGGGCGGGAATCCCCCAAGTACCTTACCCTCTCATCCCAACCTCTCTGGCGTCCCCCTACTTTTGGGGACTGTAGTTTCTGGCATGAAGTCTTAGCAGGAATGACTCATGGAGCAAGGGAAGAGTGTGGGGAAGCCGCTTTGGTCCCAGAGCTTTCATTTTCACTCTAAGCAATGGCTTCTCAGGAGAAAGGAGGCAGGAAGAGGGTGGAGCTGGAGACAGGAGGAAGAGGGCTCTTCTAGGAGTGGAAGAAGCCCCAGGAGGAAGTACGGGGAAGGCTGGTTTGGGCTTCTCAAGAGCATACTCCCGATTTTGGCTCCAGGTAGAGCGTGGGCTGTGACAACAATAATAGCAGCAGCTATTTATTGAGAGCTTCCCATGCGTTGTCAGGCTCTGAGCAAAATGCTGTACATGCTTTCTCCATCTTGATTGCTTTCAACACCCCCACTATACAGATAAGCAGACTGAGGCTCAGAGAGAGGCAATGTCTTGGCCAAATGATCATAGCTAGGTGGAACCTGGATGTAAATACATCCTGAGGCTGCCTCTCAGATGGTGAGAGTGTCTAAGCTTTGGTCCTGAGCTCCTTTGTGCCAGAAGGCCTGGAGCTAGGGAGTGGGAATCGGGGGCTAACAGACTTTCAGAGGAGGAGCTGTATTTCCCATGTGTTTGAAAATGGCATAAAGGACTTTCATTACTCTCGGAATGTGGTGGGAAGCTCCACAGGGTTGTAGGGAGAAGATTCACAGGATTTACGTTGTGATGTGACGGTGGAGGCAGCAGCCTTTTCTGCATTTTCCCCATCTGGGGTAAGATGCACTTCCAAAAGCAATGGCTGAATAAGAGCCACCCATTAGGCAGGATCCAGGACAGCCAGCCAGTTAGCTAGGGTGCTAGGCATCCAAGTAGTCACATACGTATGACAATTAAAACTGCTATTTAATGAGCACCTACTATGTTCAAGACACTGTGCCAGGCCACATATATATATATATATATATATATATATATATATATATATATATATATAAATTTTTTTTTCTCATCTTCACAACCTAATCTGTGGGGCAGGTATTATTACTCCCATTTTAGAAATGTGGACTAACCTAAGCAAAAGAACTAGTGCTACGAAGTCAAGATTGGAGACTTAAGCTGTTTGTCTTTCTGACCTCTGCTCTTTTCACTGGCTGTTCCCAAAGTGTGGGATGATTGTAGGGAGCACATGCATACAGAACTAAACAACATAAATTCACTTTCCAGTTCTGTTTAAAGTCCTTGTCATTTTTTTTTTCAAGAAGTCTCTGGAGCTACAGTATAGTTAATACATTTCAAGTGCTTGCTAATCCTCTCTTTTAAACAAAAATCAAGAGCAGGCCTGGGATGGTGGGCTGTCGGCAAGCAAAACATCAAGCCCAGGTTCAATAACATTGTTTTGTTTCTGTTGAATTTATTTTTAGGGTTTCCTTTTATTTATGAGAAGTGAGACTGGTTCTCCTCGCATGGCAATGATATAAGGTTTACATTGAAAATAAATGTATTTAATTTAATGAAAAGTAATTAATAGCATGGGTGGAACCTGGATGTAGTAAAAAAAAAAATGCAGGTGAGACCCAAGTTGATGGAGAGAGGGTGTACTGAGACCTGAGTTCTCATTCAGATTCTATCACTGTGATCCAGCCTCCCTGGTCCTTCATCTCACCATTTGTAAAGTGAAAGAGTTGGATTTTATCTTTCCAGCTTCACGGTTTTCTGGCATTTCATGGGGGAGGGTTTGGAAGGAGAAAACGTGATGAGGCTTAGAGAGAGGGGAAGGGGTGGGGAGCAAAACAATAGCGGGAAGAGGCCAGGCTAAATATAGCCCCAACCAGGACTAGGACCCGCTGAAGTCAGCCAGCCTCAGGACTCCAGGAGAGACACTGGGGCCCTCATATGCTTTTGGGTCTTTGCAAAGAGGAAAGACTCAGGAGTCCAGCGAAAAGGAAGATGTGTTTAGTTGAGAGACTATTGTGAGGTTCCAGCACCATCACTTAGTACAATACGATAGTGATTCTCTGGGTGCTTTTACAATCACATCAGTTGGCAGTTAGTTAAAAGCAAACGCACCAAGTAGTAGGCAGGCTCCACTTTTCTGCTTTGGATTTCCATTTCAGTGTTAACCTGTGGTCTGGCTGATTTTCACCTTCCTGCCAAGGAGGCTACAGCAGAGATTTCAAGATCCCTTCAAATTGCCCAATTCTGTTTTTAGGTCCACCCAGAACCATCCACTGAATGCAAAGAGAAGCAATACCCAGTAAGCAGTCAGTGCTGTGATTTCTGCCCGCCAGGTGAGATGCCAACCCTCTAGCTCCACAGTGGGACCCTTGTTGGTTTACTGGCAGATGCAGACCCCATGTGTCAACTGTGAACTCGAGTCTTAAATGACCCCTGGGATTTCCCACCCCTGCCCTGCTGTCACAGTGTTGTGGGTTCCCTCTATCCCAGCCCAGGACTTAGGGTTCCTATCTCTTCCATGTCCCCTGCCGGACTATGGAAGACCCAGCCTGATGAGTTTTCCGTAAGTGTTTGACTCATTGAGTTGGCTAGAGGTGCCTCACTTCCTGATGTTTTCCAGGACGCAAACTGGTGAGTGACTGCACCGAGTCTACACCCACAGAATGCTCTTCTTGTGGTAAAGACGAATTCCAAGACAAGTGGAACAGAGAGAGACACTGTCATCAGCACAAATACTGTGACCCCAGTGCGTGGGCTGCTGGGGAAGGGGTGATTTGGAGTGGGGCTGATAGTCCAGATCATTCTTGACAAGATAGCCGTTCTGTTTATTTCGTGATTATTATTATTTTAAATAGTCAGTGTCTGTTTTGATTGGTCGGAGTCTGGGTTGCACCGGTTGTTAAATAATTTGATTGCCATTCCTACTTGGAAGAGGGTCTAAGAGAAAAAGGGCAGGAAGTGTGAGGAGTGGGTCCCGAAGCATGGCCATCAAGGGGTTCCCGTTCCTCCTGCCCATCTCTGTACAGACCTCGGGCTCCGGGTCCAGAGGGTAGGCACTTCAGAAACAGACACGACTTGCACATGTGATGAAGGTCAACACTGTACCGGCGGTGACTGTGAAAGCTGCACGCTGCACAGCCTGTGTCCCCAGGGCTTTGGGGTTAAGCAAATCGGTAAGTGGCCTGCCTGAGAACCGGCTCTAGAGAAGAGACCAGCCGAGGGCCCAAGGCGAGGGGCTGGGCAGTGGGCACCCAGCCCCGGAGGTGGAGGGAATGGAAACTCCAACCTACGTCAGTGTGTCCGCTAGCGTGAGCAGGAAATGGGGCCTTTTTTTTTGTTCTGCCTCCTGCTATGAGTGTCTGCCTTGCGGGGGGGTGCAGTGGGAAAAGCCTTCCTAGAGGCCGTAGCCATTGGGGAAGGCTATATGCTGACGGGAGAGTGCTTCAAGCAGGAAGATCTTCCTGTCCACCGGTTGCCCTGAGACCCAGGCGGGTGGTCTACTGTGACGATTAATGCCTCCTCCTTCCTCGCAGGTACGGGGGTTTCGGATACTATCTGCGAACCCTGCCCTGCCGGCTTCTTCTCTAATGTGTCATCTGCTTTTGAAAAGTGTCACCCCTGGACAAGGTACAAGGACTCATCATCCATTGTGTTTGGGGCATGGGATCGACTTCCATTCTGTCCCACCACCTGCCTTCCTGCCTCTGCTCCCCATGTCCACACATACTCACTCACCTAGAGTGCCCTGGTGGCTGACCCAATAGGCATTTCTCGGCATTTTCTTGCCTACTCTCTTGGTAGTAACGTATACTGTCGATCTCTCCATCTTTGTGAAACTCTCCCCTCTTGGCGAGGAGGGGCACCGTGACACCTCTTCTACTTTCCTTCTACCCTCCTCTGCTAACCTCCTTCCTCCTCCTTAACTGGTTTTCTAGGCCTTTGTTCTGCTCTACGTTCCACGCACTTTGTCTACCTCCCCTGGGCCATCTCATCCATGTGCATGGCTTCAGCTACCATCTCTCTCAGGGGTTCTCAATCAACATCTCCTGTCTGGATTTGTCTTCTGGGTCCCAGACTGTCATATCCAACTGCTGAGGGCACCCCTCCATGCAGGTGACACAAAGGCACCAAATGGGCTTACCCACCCACTCCCCTCACCCTCTGTGAAAGCCACCACCATGCCTTTGGGCACTCATCCCGTGGTTCCCCTCCACTCACCTCCAACCCCAAATCAGTGTCACCCCTTTAGTTTGGGCCTCATCACCATGGCCTGGAGGATGCCTTCGCCTTCTCACCAGCCTCCCCACCTCTAGTCTCTCCCCTTCAGCTGATTCTCCATCTGCTTACCTGAGTGAGCTTTCTGCAGTTCATTTTAGGCCACAGGTGCTCCCTGCTTAAAATGCTCCATGACTCGCTGTGCCTTTGAAACAAAACCTGGACTCTTTTGCATGGCCTCCGACCTTCCAGCCCCACTTCCTGACCTCTTCCCATACACATGATGCTACTTGCAACCCCCTGAATACACTGCTCATTCTCTTGCATTAAACTCTTCTACTTGGAATTCCCTTAAATACACACCCCATGAACTTTTTACATTTATTTTTAAAAAAATGACTAAGACAGGCACATTGGATAGAAGGCACAAAAGGGCCTATCGTGATAAGTCTCCCTTTCTTTCTCTCTTTAAGATTTTATTGGGGAATTGGGGGATTGGAATAGCATTGGGGAATTGGGGAAGGGGAACAGACAAGTTGCTGCCCTTTGGCTCTTCCATCTAGTTGTGGAGGACGTCGCTTCACTGGCCCACGTTGGTATAATGATCATTGCGTTCTTCCTGGCTGAGGCAGATTGGTTGCCGGCCATTGGATGGCCGCTCACGGCAGCTCTCGCTGGCTGCTGGCAGCTCACACTGGCTGCCAGCCACTCGCAGTAGCTCATGGAAGCCCACTGCAGCCCCACTGCAGCCTACACCATCGCGGTCGACTCATGGCAGCCCAGCTCCAGATCGAGTTGTTGTTCACCATCTTAGCTATAGAGGGCGCAGTGTCACTGGCCTATGTGGGAATCGAATCCTGCTGCTCAGAGCTTGCGCTCCCAAGCTAGCTCCTAACCAACGCGCCACTCAGTCGGCCCCGATAAGTCTCCCTTTCACTCCTGTTCCTCAGCCACACGGTTCTCCTCTCTGGAGGCAGCCACTGTGTCTTGTATATCCTTCCATAGATTCTATGTGTGCATGCATGCATGCGCATGCACACACACACACACATGCATGCATGCACACGTGCAAACACACATATTGTCCACTACAAATTTTAGCATCTCATATACACTTTGTTATTTGTTGACTGTCTGCCTTTCTCCAATCGATTGCAAACTCCTTAAATGTAGACACTTGGCTTTTTTTTCCTTTTCTTCCACTGGTGCATCCCTTATGCCTAGAACATAGTAGGTGCTCAATGAATGTTTACTGCTAGATGTTGGCTGATGTTTGGAGGCACGTTGGTGCAGTAGAATCAGAGCACTGGGTTCCAACCTCCCTGTAGTGTGGAAAGGGTGTGGCTTTGGGCAAGCCTGTGAGCCTCATTTCTCTGAGCCTTGGTGTCCTCATTTGCAAACTGGGAATGACCTTCATCTCACAAGGCTTGAGGAAGACGTGTAAAGGTGTTTTATAAGCTCTTAAGCGCTCTTCTTGTGTGATACGTTTCTGAGGTATGTGCTTTCTTGGCGGCGTCTCTCTTTCCTCCACTGTAGATGATTTTTGTTTGCAATGTCCTTCTCTGACCATTCCCCACCATTTCTCCTGGGACCCCTGAGGACCAGGTCTTCATCTCATATCTAGACTTCTGCCATGGCCTCCTGGCTGGCTGCTTTTCTGTACGCTCTCCTCCTGTGAGCACTCTGGTCATCTGAGTCCTCTCGCTACTTACGTCATCTGACTGAATGCTGATGCGACTCAGCAGCTGAATCTGGTTGAAACCTTTATGGATGATTATCAGTGATCTTGTTCTAAAGGCCAAATTTTCCATAGCTCCCTAATGCCCTCTAGTACGTCACCCCCCTAATCTCTATATCACATTGTTCTGCTTAGGAGATACAGCTGCGCTAAATTTTACATCCTTCCGGGCCTACTCAGACCTAACTTCCCCAGGGAAATCTTTCTGGACGACCTTTAAACCAGAGGTTCTCAACTGAGCAGTTTTGTCCCCCAGGGGGGGCATTGGACAATATCTGGAGACATTTTGGTTGGCATGACTGGGGAAGGGGTGGTGCAACTGGTCTCTAGCGGGTGGAGGCTTGGGATGCTGCTAAACATCCTACAGTGCACAAGACGGCCCACATCACAGAGAGTTATGTGGCCCAAAATGTCAGTGATGCCGAGGTAGAGAGGCCCTGCCGCAAACTGAATGCATCACCTGTCCGTTCCAGCCACTGTGGATTTTGTCTCCTCTTCTCTGAACAATTCCTAGTTCACTTTAGCCTTTATCACAACTCTTGGCACTCAGTAGAGACTGTCCTATTATTACTCCTTCAAGATGTGTGATAATCTTTACTCCGTACTCATGAGTTCCATAAGAGCAGAGTTTGCATCATCACCAGCACAGGAGGGTGCATATAATACGTGCTAAGTGAACCTGGACTTGTTGGTTGTTGATGGTCTCCCTCTGGGGTTGGAAATCTTATGGTTAGGGAAACTTAATATCTCTCTCTCTCTCTCTCTCTCTCTCTCTCTCTCTCTGCACACGTGTCTGTACACAGCTGTGAGACCAAAGGCCTGGTGGAGCGACGGGCAGGCACTAACAAGACTGACACTGTCTGTGGTGAGTCCTGGAGAATGGGCCCTGGCGGCAGGCTAGGAAGGTAGGGAACGAAAGAGGGAGACTGAGTCACACAGTGACGCTGGGTGGGAGGTGAAGTGAGAGGAGGAGGCAGTTTGGAGTTGTGGTATCTCAGCTCTGCCACTTATTTGTGGAGCCTGGGCAAGTCACCGTCCCTCTCCGAACCTCAGTTTCTTCATCTGTAAAACGGGATGATAATAGCCCTTCCCTTAGTGGGTTGGTGCAAGTGCCTGGCGTGGGCTCTTGTACTTTGGAAGTGCTCCATCAGTGCTATTCTGCCACCCTGCCCATCAAGTGCCAGCATGGTGTGACACCGTTTCCTCTCAGGGCCTCAGTTTTGATTTTAGAACAAGGAGGTTGGCCTATGGCACAGATCACAGACTCAAATAACTGCAGGGACTGGGCAGGTCGTGTTAATGAATGAAAAATACACGCTCTTTTCCTTTTTCATAACATTCATTTTCCTCTTGGCAGGGCTGGGGCTGGAGTGAGGTGAGCGAGGCACTTGCCTTGGGCACAATATTTAAAGGTGTGCCAGAAAAATGCAGTAATCAAGATAAATAGCATCTTGACGCAATATTTAAAACAAATCAAAGTTAATGCAAAAAAAATCCATAGTGAACAAAATGTCAAAATTTTAACTGAAGACATGATCCAACCCTACATCTGCTTACCTCTCTGACTCACATGCCTCAGCCTAATCCCGACCCTGGTTCCAATGCAACTTTATTAAAAAAAAAACAGGCAGTCAGCCTGTGGGCCATAGTTTGCTGACTTGATGTTTCAAAACACGACATTAAAATATTACTTACCTCGATCGCTGAGCATTTTGGTGTCCTCTTAAATTTTGTCTTGAGGCGGGTGCCTTACCCTCATCCCTGCCCTGCCTCTTGGCCTTTCTTTCCTTTTTCCCATTTGGAATAGAGACTGAGCTACAGGAAACACGTTCATGTGCCCTCTATTTTTCTAAAACAAAGGCAACAGTGTAGACATACACGATGTGGAGCCTCAGCGTTGGGCGGAGAGTAGGCAAGGATAGGGAGTGGTGGAGACGGCTACCACCGCTTAGCGCGGGCCGATGGGTCCCAGGTCGGGCTGCTGCCCGGTGGCACCAGGTCTTCCAAATTTCTAAGAGAAACCAGATATCTAGATTTTAAATATGTAATCTCCCCATTTTAAATGTTTCAAAAACAGTTAAAAAAAATGTGCTGGTCGTACGAAAGACACCTGCTGGCCACATTTTACCAGGGCCACCTGTTCGAAACCTCTGATATAGATGAGCTCAGACATGGAAGGATTTTCGAGTCTGACAGGGCGCAGCGGCTTCGGGGCGGGGCGTAGCGGTGGGGGAGCCCTTGATGAAATCTCGATTTCTCCAGGTTTGCAGTCTCGGTGGAGAGCCCTGGTGGTGATCCCCATCATTATGGGGATCCTGTTCTCTGTCCTGTTGGTGTCCTCGTGTATCAGTGAGTCCCCAGGTGGGGAGGTGAAATGGGAGGGAGGGAGAGAGGGGGGAGAAAGCAAAGTAGAACTGGGTGCCTGTTTCCTGATCTGGCCTCAACGACACCCCATCCCATTTTTTCTTTTTTCCCCCTCTCTCTCTAGGAAAGGTGGCCAAGGAGCCGGACAATAATAAGGTAGGTCACCCCCGGGAACTGGCTCAGAGTTTTGGCAAACTGGAAAGAAGATTGACTCATTGTTGCCTATATGGCAGTAAAACGAATTCAGGGTCTGCCCCTGTGGCCAGTAGGATGGCAGCAGGCTACTCTCAGCCCCGCCCCTGTGCTCCAGGGCCCCTCCCATTCACTCCCTCAGCGGCCAGCCTTTGTCATCCTCAGAGCTCACCTCCCCACAGAGCTGCCCCAGCACCAATGTCAAAGTCAGTGGTGTCATTTGCTGTTCTTTCCTGGCATTCACTATATGGAGAACCACTCTGGGGCCTTGGAACAGGGTCCATGGGCCACCTGGAGGGGCAGCACCTTGAACCCACTGGAAGCTTCTTGATGCCCTCGGTGTGGCCAGCAGGGGGCAGGAGGCACCCATGGAATCAGCCTTGACCTGTTTGGGAAAGCGGAAAGGGCTTGTAGGGGATCCCCATGGAGGAAGGAAGAAGGGCCCCTTGGAGAGGTTGCTGGGTAACCTGATGCCCCTGGCTCCCCAGGACGTCTGCAATAAACGCAAAGGGCAGGACCCCGTGGAGGTGGAGATGGATATGGCGGATTTTTCTGGCCCCCACTCTACTGCTCCTGTGCAGGAGACCTTACACGGATGCCAGCCCGTCACGCAGGAGGATGGCAAAGAAAGTCGCATCTCAGTGCAGGAAAGACAGTGAGGCTATGTGTACCCAGGAGCGTGGCAGCATGGACAAATATGCACGTGTGGCCTGGGAGCCTGGAGCTGCTGCTGACACGTGACGGGGAGGGCCTGGTGCTCTGCACAGACCCCCTCTGCCGGCACCCCTGTGGCTCAGAAACAGTTCACTTCTGGGGAGCCTCCCACTCCAGCCTCGAGCCCATTCAGTATCTCAACTTGCTTTTAAAAGACGGAGGCAAAACTTTTTGGGGGGTGGTATAGTAATACCATGAAACCCTCCAACCCAACAGTTCAGTGCCCAGAGATGTATCATGGTGGTTTCTTGGAGCCCAGGAGGGCATCTACACGAATATCCATTGCAGAGTTGTTTGTGACAGTGAACAACTGGAAGCCACTTAATTGTCTATCAACAGAGGACTGGCTAAATAAAATTGTAATATATTTATGCAACAGGATCTCAAAAAACACTGTCATGAAAAAAGAAAAAGCAGGTTGCAGAATAATGGGCACGGAAAATTTTTTTTTTTAAAGCACATACCCCACAACAATGTGATATATCATTTCTATGTATGTATAAATATAATATGCATTGTATATGAGATATAACAAGAGTTCTGGAAGTATGCACCGCTCCAAGAGTTGTCAAGTTTGGGTTGGGGAAGTAGGCGCTGGGGGAGGGTTGGTTCAAGGAAGATTTGACTTTCCCAAAATGCATCATTTTTGTCCCCCAAAGAGGAGTGAATGCATGTTACGCTTATGTAATTAAAAAGTCATCAAACATGTAAAAAGAAAAACGGGGGTGGACATGCCGGGTGGCGGGAGCTGCTTAACTTGCTGTCAGGCTTCCAGAATTAGGGCACTTTCTCAGGATAAATAAGAATGTCCCCAGGCTGGTGCCCCTCCAGCGGTTTCCATGTGTGCTCACATTAGGCACCATGCCTGCAAAGGGTTCTCCCCATTTGATTAATGTTCACAAATACAGCCTTGGGGGCAGGCAGGGCTCACATCCCTTCCTCTTTAACAGAGGTGGAAACAGAGGCCCCGAGAGGTGAAGTGACTTGCCTATGGTCACGTAGCAGTTCGCAGCGGTGCCACCCAGGGCTCCCCACTCCTGGTCCTGTGCTGCTTGTCCAGACCTGCCTGCTCACTGGAGCCCAAATCTGTAGCTCCTTCCTGGGGAGATCTTGGGTCTCCCACCTCCTTCTGACCTCCCAACTGCTACAGGAGCTGCTGCGTCTTGGTCAGATGGCACCCCTCCCCCCACCCCAGCAGTATCTTAGGATAAAAATAAACCATCCTGTTCTCTTTTCCTGCTGTGCCAACTGAGGGGGAGCCTAGCCAGGAGAAGCAGCAGATGGAGTGGGAGCAGAGGGGAAGGAAGAGGAGAGGAGAGGTGGGGAGGAAGGTTGTAGGACAAGGAGGAGAAGGGAGAGCCACGTGAAGGCCTGGCATGAAGATTAAGAGTCATGGCGTGGATGAGGCCAGCGATCTCAGCTGCTCCCCCGGAAAGAAGCTGCTCTGGATTCCCCCAAGGTGTCCTGCTGCCTGGAGGGTGCCAGTAGAAAGGGCTTGTCCCTGGTGGAGGCTGTGAGGGCAGCTGGGAGCCAAGGGGCACCTGGCTTGGCAGTCTTCCCAGAAGAGCTTCGAAAACCATTTGGATGCGCCAGGTGGAGAGACATTTGCTTTATAAAGTGGAGCAAAGTGGTAGTGGGGTGGGATGGGGGGGAGAGGGAAGCTTTGGGACCTTACCCTCCTTCCCTATCTAGAGTCCAAATGCTAGTGTTACTCCTGTGCATGGCGGTGTGGTGGAAAGAGACAAAAGACCCACCACCTCTGCCACCTATCATCTGTGTGACCTTGGGCGGGTCATTTTCACCTCTTAGTGTCTCAGCTTCCTCATCTGGAAAATGGAGACCATACCTACAGCAGCTGCTATTGATACCTCCTTTGTCTTCTCCTGGGTCAGAGGTTCTCAGTCTTGACCGTGTATTGGAACCACCTAAGACTTGTTATAAGACAGATCGCTGGGCCCCACGGCCAGTGTTTCTGATTGAGTAGGTCTGGGAAGGAACTCAAGAATTTGCATTTCTAACCAGTTTCCCGGGTGATGCTACTGCTGCTGGTCCAGGGACCATACTTTGAGAACGATTGCCCTTGGCGTTCAGATTTCTAGATAAGCAGTTGTTTCCTGTTGCAAGCCCGTGCCTTGGGGCTTTCCCTGGTCTTGAAAACATGCTTGGTGCAGGTGTGGGGCAGGTAGATGTACCTGGGGAGTTATTCCATGCCCAGGAATACTCTCAGCCAACTGGGAATGAAAGCTGGAGGGTAAATGACCCAGCTCTCTCGCCCTTGAAAGGGACAAGTATGAAGTATGGTTTATACTTTTCCGAGGTTCCCTAGAGGGATAGATTCCCAGCTGCCCCTCTGTGGTGGGGTTCCTTCTCTTCCGTGTCTCATTTTTCCACACCCCCCCAACTGGTGCTTCTGGGGTTCAACTCCCAAATGAACAAGCTGCATTGTCACAGAGTCTGCTTCCGGGAGAAGTTCCCCCGACCAGCCAGCAGAGCTCGTGCATTAGAAAGTACATTTTTGTACAGTTGTTCCCCATCCTGCCACCTTATCTGCAGTTTCGCTTTCCACGGTTTCAGTTACCCGTGGTCACTTGCAGTCTGAAAATATGTACAATTCCAGAAATAAACAATTTATAAGTTTTAAATTGCATGCTGTTCTGAGTAGCGTGATGAAATCTCGAGTTGTCTGGCTCCATCCCACCCAGGATGTGAATCATCCCTTTGTTCAGAGTGTCCACGCTGTGAGATGCTCCCAGCCCATTAGTCACTTAGTAGCTGTCTCCATTGTCAGGTTATGAGAGAGAGAGAGAGAGAGAGAGAGAGAGAGAGAGAGAGAGAGAGAGAGAGAGATGCCATGCTCACATAACTTTTATTACAGTATATTGTTATAATTGTTCTATTTTATTATTATTGTTGTTAATCTCTTACTGTGCCTAATTTATAAATTAATCTTCATCATAGATATATCTAAATAGGAAAAAACATAATATATATAAGGTTCAGTACTATCCGTGGTTTCAGGCATCCACTGAGGGTCTTGGCATGTATCCCCCGCGAATAAGGGGGCCTACTGTATATTTTTGCATCTCTGACAAAGGAATGGGTTTGTTCTTCATGGCAGCTGTAGCAAGTTCTGAGTTCTAAGTGGAGCTCAGCCGGGAACTTTCTGTGTGACCTTGGGCAAGTTACTATCTGGTTCTGCCTCCCCACCCCCATCCAGATGTGTGATGAAGGGCTGGGGCCCTAGAAGTTCTAAGGGTCCTGCCAATTCTACAAATACGTGAAGAGGATCAACCCACTGTAGGGTCCTCTCCTGCCTGTGGGTGGAGGGGTTGGGTGTGAGGCACATCTCAGCCAGAGGGTGGCGCCAAGGTAACGTCCGAAGACCCCAAGCGCTGGCTTTTGCCCGCTCTCACACCAAGTCCTCACTTTGGAGGTGAGGCCTTTCCTCCCTGGTCCCATTGGCCTGAGCCTCCTGCAGCCTCTACTCTGCAACTTCATCCATTCCCCAGGTCTCCATCTCCGCTGCTTCCTTCATTTAATGGCATCAACTGCATTCTTACTGTGGCCTCATCCTGAGCTAGGGTTGTGCACAGTGCCACACTAAGCGTGCATGGATCAAATGCTCACTGTATGCTAGGTACAGCGCTTAGAACTTTTCTTGCATTGTCTGTCGGTAGGACAACCCTACACAAAGCACAGTCTCTTATAGCACCCATTTTACAGGGGGGGCTCAGAGGCTAAATGACTTGCTAAGATCTGAGGAGTGAGAGCTGGGATTTGGACCTAACTTGGCTGACCTAAAAGCTTGTGGTTTATACCCATTTAGTGAGTAGAGAAGCAGGTACATGTTAACAGGCCTTGAAAAGGCAGTGTGACTGCCCAGGGCAGAGGGAAAGCCCAGAGCAGGGACAGCTAACCTCCAGGGCAGAGTTGCAAACTCACACACACACGGGCTCGAGCATGAGGCAGGCCAGCTCGGGACAAGTCAAGATGGCAGAGACTGGCAAATTGGAGAGGCTCTGCCTATCTTTGGGGGGCAGCGTCTATCCGTTCCTTGCGATGGCTGCCCTGCAGGAATGGGTTCTTTTTTTGCTGGGAATCCAGATTTCCATGTGAAATTGCCCAATGTTTAAATGCCACCAATTCCAAAACTTTAAAAACTCTGTGACAGACCAAGAAAGCAGGTCACAGAAGCTTGGAATTAAAAGAGACTGGGACTGTCATGGTGTCCAATCGTTTTGTTTGATATATGGGGAAACTGAGGCCCAGGGAGGGTCCAGAGCCCAGATAGGCAACGGTGGCATAGGCAAGTTGTTTCTTTCCTCCACACCTCAGCCAGGAGGCTGCATAGAGCTCCTGGGGGCCTAGGCCCTGCCTCTCCCCTCCCCTCCCAGTCCCGGTGGAAGCTTGGTGAGCAGGGTCTAAGGCATTGAAGCTCTAGGACTGAGGGAATTGCCTTGGGACCGAGGCTGAGCTGGGTGTAGAGGTCCTTTTCTTTCTGTGACACCTCCCCTGCTGTCCCAGGCCCTCCCCACATCAGGCACACACACGCATACGCATACCCGCCCCTTAAGCCTCCACAGCCCTGCAGCAGATTCCTTGGGCAGCAGAAGTTATTAAACACTCTGCCCCAAAGGATTTCTCTCCCCCAGAGTGATTCTGGCGCAGAAAATTACAAACCCACCTGCGGGGGTGGGGAGATACAGTTTTAATTTGTAAAAAAAAAAAAAAAGAACAAAAGACCCCCGTGCTGTGGTCCTGGAGTTTGGGGGAAGGGAGATGCCTCTGGGAAATGCAGCTCTGTTATTGGGGGGCTGACTCTGGGAGGGGTTCAGCAAGGTCAGTGAGCAGGTTTTGCCCAGACAGATGGGGACAGCGGGCAGGGGCCTAGGGAGGGGGCGCCGTTCCTTTATCCCCCTCCCCCTCCATTCCTGGGGCTCTCTGCCTCTCTCCCTGCCAACTGGCACATCCTGCCTGGCCTTGGCTGCCAGCTAGCTCCTGGCTCCCTTCTCTCTCCAGGACGCCCACCCTCTGCAGTCTCTGACCGTCTCTCTGCTCCCTGACCAACCACCTTTTTTCCCCCTTCTCCCAGCAATTCCATCTCGCCCTTGTTCTCTTTTGAACGAGTGTTATTGTTTTGGCTAATTACGAGAGTCAGACCTGGCATCGCAGGTCCCATCCAAGCAACAAACAAGAAAAATAAGACCACCTGTGAGCCTCCCACCACCCCCCGCCAACCACGAGTTACAGGTCCTTCCACGCTTGGTTTCTGGGCCCAAAAAATATATATTTTTAAACTTGGGCTATTATTACATACACTGTTTTGCAAGCAGCCTTCTTGGCTTAGCAGTATACGGCAGACGTCTCACCACGCCAATAAATGTGGATCGACAGCGTGCTTTTTAATTGCTGCATAGGATTCCATTGTACGGCTGGAGCCTGATTCCTGTCAGGACATCCTATTAATGGACTTTTAGGTGGCTCCTGTCTTCTGTTTTGCTTCCCTGATGTCTCCTCCCCTCTCCCTCTTTCTCTGCACCCAGCCTCTCCCATCTCCCGTTTTCTGTCAGCCTTTTTCACCCTCCTTTTCCCCAGCGCGGCACCTTATTTCTCCTCTCCAGCTCAACCCATTCCCACCAAGCCCTTGGCCCCCTGTGGAGGGAGGGGCGGGGTCGTCAGTGTTTAACACCCACTCCCCCCCCCCCCCCCCCGTGTCAGACATGTGCCATCTCATTAGTGTGCCTGTCCCCCCAAGTGAGGCAGGCAGGAGCCACGGTGGCAGCGAGAGGCCTAATTGAATGTAACTAATTATTCACTCCCTTAAATGGGCCTGGGAGGGACAGAATTACTCACTCTGAACTGGGGAGACAGGGAACCGGCCGGCTGGCAAACAAATCCTGGGGCCTGTGGAGCCAGCTCTCCTTGGAATACTAATTAGGCAGGAGTGACGAGGACAGGATAAAATCACAGAGTCGCCAATCCGTCCCTGTCTGATCCTGGGAGCCCTGGGTTGGGAGGAGAAATGAATCCGTCTGTGAATCTAATTGGAGGCCGGATCCCACCGTGGATCCTACCCTGGGGAAGACGAAATGCTGGGCGGGGGACCTGAGGAAGGCAGGGGGCTACTGTTTATTATGGGGAGTGGCAGGGGGGCAGCAGCAGCCCTGGAGGGAATATGACAGGGTGGGGCGGATGGAGAGGAATGTCACTCCCACCTAGAGCCCAGGGGACCCAGCTGGCTCCCAGGAGGGTCCCCTCTACTCCTGAGGACTACCAGGGCCAGACCCCGTGCTAAAGGCCGATGCCCACAGACCTCACTGCAGCCCAGCGGGTTCGCGCGCTCCTTACCCGATACGAGGAAAGCACGGCTCAGAAAGCGAAAGTCATTCGTCCAAGATCAGACAGCCAGGCTGGGGGTCGTTCCCATCTAGCTGCAAAGCTTGAGCTCCTAAGCCCTAGAATGACCCCAACCTCACCCCTGGCCAGTTAAATAAGATGTCCGTGGGGTGAGGGTGGGATGGGAGCAGTCCAGGCATCGGTGTTTTTTGTTTCAGAGCTTCCCCAATGGTTCTAACATTCAACCAGGACTGGAAACCACTGGTTGAGACCTTAGCTCCTCATTTGGGTCCCTGCTCCTACTTCATATTGCTCGTGGCATTCCTTCCTCCTCTCACGTCTGTCCTCTCATCTTAACCGTCCCAAAGACCTCCAAGCTCTTACCTGTCACCTGGTTTCCTGACATCCTGAGTGTGAAGGTTGGGGTCAGGAGGGACTGTGTGGAACAGGATTAGGGAGGTGACTTTTGTGGGGAAGGGAGGCTGTGGGGAGAGCAGGGGCCTCAGGGGCCTCTGAGCTGCACACCTCTCTAGGCCATTCCTGGAGGTCAGAGCTGAGAGATCACCTCACATTTGATCCTGACAACACCCTCTGAAGGGATGTTAGTTATTCTTGCAGCTGAACAAAGTGAGGCTCACAAAGGCTAAGTGGCCCAAGGGAACACGGGACAGTCAGCATCCAATTCCTGGCCCTTCTGGCTTCTCAAGTCTGGTGCTCCTTTCTCCTGTGCTGCTTTGGCTCTGCTATTGCATTGGTGATCGCCGCTCCAGCAGGAGTTAGCGTAAGCGTGCTCCTCTTCTGCGTGTGTGTGCGTGCTTGTTGGATGTGTGTGAGCGCTCTCCTTCCTGAAGGGGGCTGACCGTGGACACGCTCCCCACTCCTGCCCAGCACAGTGCCTCCTGTTGCCCAGTGAGGGGAAGTTCGAGGGGGCACCTGCCCCTGCTTCTTGCTCCCCACTTCACTTCCCCAGCCAACTCCAGTGCCCACTCAGCAGGCAATGACTCCCCTCCTGGCTGGGGAAGGTGGGTCACCCTGCCAGCCATGTGACAAACAGCCTTGTTTGTGACAAAGATGGAGAGAGAGCCCTCGTAGTTCTAGGGCTGTGAAATTCTCCCTTTCCCAAGCTTTTCTGCTGTCCCCTCTCCAGTCCCCAGTGGAGGTGACAGGGAGAGATGGACGGTGGTCACACTCACCTCCCTCCAGCTACCCTCCCCAAATGTGGGGACTTCATGGGAGCTTCAAAGAGTGGCAGCAAATT